TGAAGATCACAAGCTAAGAAAAGGAAGGCTGAAGCTAGAGTTCAGAAAAACATCCTCACATGATGAGAAGTAGAATAATGGAACAAATTTGAAACGGCAGCATCCCTGCAGATGTTAAAGAACCAGGCTACACTGCTCAGGCTTACACTGGGTCAGACCTGAAGAGTCAAACTTCATGGTTCAAAATGGACTTTTGTTTATTTAGCACTGTTGCTTGAGAACAAAAATCCTTCAAGTACATTGTGCAACTCAGCCATAATCTGGCTTGTTTACCTAGTGTTGCTGGGGGTGTTTTGTGCTGTCTTGGGCTTTCTTCACCTAAAAAGGCAGAACAGAGCTACCATACAAAGGCATGTCTACATTAACAAGCAATACAGTCCATTGGCAGGCAATCTGTAGAGTAAAATTGTTACTGTTGAGCATCTACTTCTGCAGCAGCAGATGCATCTGCATATTTTAATTTCGGGACTTTTACTCAGGACTAGCTCCAGTCTAGGTCTGTGAACTGAAACCTTTATAATAGTTGGAGTGCCTCAGACATGCTCTTGGAGGTTGTCTTCCAGTTCAGATTCATCCAGAAGGAATCCAGTTCACATGCCTAAGGCCTCCTCATGACATGAACTGCAGCGCAACGAGTGGGGACGGTCAGGACGTTCACTTCAAAAGGATGCTTCTGGTCTGAACTTAAACACTAATGAGGATAGACTGTATCAGAGAATAACACAGTAGTATCTACAGAAATGAATACAGGAGTCTCAAGCAATGTGTCATTAGGGAGTTGCAGATAATGTAAACTTTGATGACTTTTTTTTCTTTTGTAACTATTATGCATCTTCTTTACTCTTACCCTAGCACTAAGCAATCACGTGGCCCCCCCAGAGACTGGGGACTTTACATTCTACTTGAGAGAGAGCACTGGGGGGGTGGGATTCTTCTGAAGGAAATCAGAAAAACAAACAAACAAACAAATGCCTTCGCGGTCTGATTTATTATAAATACAGTTCGAATACATCCATACCTCCCCTAGCTATGCTTTCATCTGGGAAACTCTTGCATGCCTTTGCCTCAGTCAGAGACTGCCAATGCGGAGTGACCACATATGCTCTCTTTCTGCAGGAGGATATGTGAATATATGCTTGTGTTTCTCCTTTGCAGTGTGCACTGTCCCTCCTGGCTTACAATTCTAGAGGCCCAAATTCTCACTTAAGCCTGTCAGTATGGTGAAATACTGGTGAAGGATCCTGTTCAGGTTTCAGTGCTCCTTCTGACTTCAGTGCAATTAAAACAAGGGTGGCAGTTTCATCCTGCTCACTTAATTGGTGAGTACAGAAACAGCTAATCAAAAAACAAACAAAATGCCACAAACCTAAGCCAGGTGTTAATTTTTCTGGAGGTGCAGCCTCACTTTGAAGCTGGTCTTCCCATGGGCCAAAAAAACATCATTAACAGTTACGAGGACATCCAAACTTTCGAACAGTTTGAATCTGAACATAAACTCAGCTGCTTGACTTCCTTAACACAAAACCAGCCCCTCAATAAGCCACTGTAGGGAGCCTGGGCTCTGAAGATTGTTCTTTGCATGTGACAGGACACACAGAAGGAAACAGAGCTTGCCCCAATGATCAGTTCTGCCCTCTAGAGTTCTTTAAAGCCTTTGTAAACCATGTATAAATGAACGCATAAGCTGCACCACAAAAATCAGAAGCAGCGGATGACTTTGGAGGGAAGTAACTGTCTCCTTTTTCCAGTGACCTTGATAAATGAACTCTTGCATTGTTTTACATTGCTTCAGGTGTCCAGAAAGGCTTATTTAACTGCTCCTTCCTATGGCTTTCATACTGGCCTATCTGCTGTCACTGTTACCTCTAAAGATCCAGGAACATTTTTTCTTGTATGGATACCAGAAGCAAGCCTGAAAACAGTTTTGTCTTATTCCTAGTAGGTCCCTGCTCTGAGCAAATATAATTTGGTTTGCTCAGCTGGGAGAGCAAAGGGCTTTGGTAATGCTTAATACCCCTGATTGTCCTGTATGTGGACGACATCCATCTGCTCTTTGGTAAACACAACTATGCAACAGTACTGGTTCTATCTGTGCTCCTGTCAACACCTCTCGTTATATTGTCTCCTTTGAAGACACTTACGTCTCCAGGCAGTTCCTTGTAGGCACATCATTTCCTTTTTTCCACATGCAAAGACATGTTGCTAAACCCCTTGTGCTTCTTTGTAGCTGTTACATTAAGTAAAGCATGCCAAAAAAAAAAAGGAAGGATTCCAGAAACAACTAGTTCTTCGTATTTTAGCAGCTGATGGCCCACTATCTCATTGACTTAGCATGGAGAAAGAGCACGTTCTTGCATGGTTGACCTGCCATGCAAAACTTCCCCACTGTCTTGGATACAGACTCTTTTTCACTGCTACACATGAATATCATTTCTGCTTCTTGCAAATCCAGCGTGCCAGGGAAACAAGAGAGTATGTGACATACTGCTCCACATGCAGGAATTTCTGAAGAATGATCATCTTGTCAATAGTCAAATCTGTTATATTGTCTGGAATTGGGCTTTTCCCCTCAAGGTATCTTGAACTGCACTGTATCATTGTCTACTAAAAGATACCATGTTTCAAAAAGAGAGGAATGAATCATTTCACAACTCCTTCAGGTCTGGTTTTGTGCTCTTCTCTTCTCTTCTTAGCTGGTATGTGAGCTATATCAGCTGAGAGCGGAGGCAGGGTTCTCTTTCCTCAGCAATAGCTGTTTTCCCAAGTTCTGTTTAAGAAGGCTGTGTTTTCATGTAGTAGCCAATGGAATTCATTTTCATTCTAACAACCCCATTAGCAGGGTTGGTTTCATTGTTAAGGCGTTACACTGAAGTGCAGAAGACTATGTTTTCTTTCGACAGTAGTAACTGTCAAAAGCTTTCTGGATGACCCCAGCAAGTCATTTGACCTCAGCATTTCAGTTGTGTTTTTTTTTTTAATTATGGATGATGGTACATCCTTATTCCTTTCGCTAGCTTTGTATGTTAAAACTTACGTCCTTTAAGGTGAAAATGTATTACTGCTCCTCTGCCAATTACTCACAGCAAGAAGGCTTTAGCTGACTCTCTGAAACTGTAGGTAACTATAGGTTAAGTTGTGCAGGCTCTTATATGTTGGCATTCAAGACAAAGTATGGTCTATCCAGCTATCTGAAGGGCTTTGAAGACCCACATGGTCTTTGTGTTCCGGATCTATTTTGGACTGCTTTATTTTTTCATGGATATTTTGATATGTTTGGAAACCACTGTACCTTATGATAACACTTGACTTTGAAAACATTTTATGCTAGAAATGAAATATCTGCTTACCTGGAATCTAGGAATATTAATTTTAAGTCCAAACTTGCTCTGAACATAAACATGTTACTGTGAAGTTTGATCTCAGTGATTGCACTGGGAGGTAAAGATTGACCTACAGCCACCAGTCCAACGATTTGGTAACAGGAATCATACAAAGACATATCTAGCATATACTGACGTATCTTCAAATAGCCACTGCAATGGATCACCTGGCATGAGAAGAAAACACACTCAATATCTGATGGCAATGGAAGAGGCTGCAAGTCAGCTGATCACCCAGTTTCAATGAGGTTATAAAGCAATACACCCTTGTAACACTTAAACACTGCATAGTCTGTTAAGGCTTCAGAAGTGCGGTTAATTTATAAATGGAAATTAAAACACAGTAAATGCAGTTTTTGTGTTTACTGCCAACATGATTAATCCAGTATTAAAGCACATGCTCTTTGGGGACTATCTAGACTGCTTTCTAGGTAATACTTTAAACTCTCTTTGATACAGATTTCTTGTAGATACAGTCAGAATTCTTGTTCATTAATCAAAAAATCTGGAAGTTGCTTTTTTCTAAATTACTCTCTCTCACACACACACAGAGGTATATATAAACATTTACATTTTAATGAGTTATTATTCTGATGAAAAACAGACATTTTAAAAATCCAGTGGAGATTAATGCATCGCATTTATAAAGATTAACTGCTGTATATGTAAATGCACTAGAAATTAGTTTTAAGTTCTCCAGTCAAGTTCAGATGATGTTCTTTTGACATGTGACCAAGCCCAGGGTCTTGAGACCAGATTCCTGAATCCCCATATACAATTCCTAATCACAGGAGTGATAACTTCAGTGTTAGACTATAAAAATTCACAATGTCAGCTAAAGAGGGGGGAAAATTGTAACCTGGGGACTATTCCAGAACATAAGATTTATTTAATGTAGTGCTAGTGTTTAGAAATCGTTTGTGCTCCTGCCAATTTTCTAGTCCAAACAGCAGGTATACTATACATCCTTCAGCTTAATTTCTGTATTTGTTTGACTTTTAACTGTGTCCAATGAAAAGGAATTAATTTCCACTGTATTTAGTATTCCTGAACAACCTACTAAACAGTCACCTATAAATAGGCTCCTCCTGTATAACCTCTCTAATCACAAAGTGGTTAGTATGTTTAGCAAAAGTGCAGTAGCAAGCAAAACTTATTTAAGATCTCTCAGCAGATCCTACTAGTTCCCATACTACTTGGGAGAGTATTCATGAGTTTTTCCTGCACTTCAGCTAATCAGGTGATATTTTCAAAATTATGAACTCCTGACTCTAAGTACAGTCAAAGAGAATAAATTTAGGCCAACATCTCTCTAGATGAATACATCCTTAAATGTTTCACTGCGTAAATTTTAATAGTGAGCGAAAGAAGAAAGAAGGTGATCCCTCTGATTAGCAGTCATAAATGGGGGGGGAGGGGGAACCATACAGAGATACCACCACTACAAGCTCTACTCTTTTACCTGATTTCAGATTCAGCTTTGGGACAGAATCATTTTTGCTGGGAAGCAGCTGAGCAAACAGGGGTCCATGTAATGAAGAATTATCAGTCTAACCAGGTAGATAGCAGTGTAAATAGACAGATATATGTCTGGACCTTGAGCACATTCCTTAAAAGAGCTCTGCTTCTCTTGCATGCTTTTCTTTTTGTTTTTGAATGACTCAAACAAAATGAATCCTCACCAGACTTATGTCAAGTACCCTTCTCTCCTGATGCTTAAGTGGTAGAATTGCACTGTGTAGCTCAAAGATCAGCAAATGCTCATTGTAAAGCTGAAAATAAGAACTACCTGAATGGCAGGTGTTATTATAGAATCTCAGTATTTGCCATGGCTTCTGATTTCATGTAATAAATAGAAAATTAATACAAACTATAAGATTTACAAACAGACTTGTTGGTTTAGTACAATTCAACCCTGACTTGATAGTAATGATTGTTTAGGGTAACATTACGGTCTCATTAATGTTGAGGTAATTCTGGTCAGGCCAATGAGGTGACTTGTGCAACTGGGTGGCTGCTCAGCTGGAGCACGGTAACACTGAGGCAGAGGGATGGTGGGAGGGCTTCCAAGTTCCTGTGTCTGGGTTCCTGCCTCACCTGCCTCCAGTTCCATAGGGGAATAAGACCTAGCTGTGGGCTCTCCTTGCACCTCTGTGGCCGTGCTCCAGCCAGTTCCCCAATCTGGAAGATCAGGGATCAGGATGTGGGAATGTGCCGCAAAGCAAGCCCCAACTCACTGTGAGGGAGTCTAGACTGGCATTACTAAGGGAATCTGCAATCAGCAGTGGCAATTTTTGCATCTGTTCTGATTCTTTCCATCACAGACTTTGCTTTCAGCTACACATACATTAAAAAAACTAAATAAATAAACTGGTCACTTGTTGAATACTTGGTGCGGGGGAAGCTTATGTACATTACCTTGTAGCCACTGCATGTCAATCCTGCATTCCTCTTGGCTAGGACACACTTCATTCTCAGGAAAAATGATCTCTCAATTTCATATTCTGAAAGCATAAACCACACTGCGTATTTATTACTGAAGATTTCAAAACTGTCCATAACATTGGCTTTCATGATTTAACAGATGTGTTTATGTCTCAGCCTTAGGCAGCAATAGAAGTCAGCCGTTCTACTTTCCCACTCAATCTCTTCCCTCAGGATTTATTTCACCTTCATGTTAAGATTCCGTGTGAAAGTTGGACAAGTCAGCATGACTAGGTCTCCAAATTTCTGTTTTTACCACCCTTCACAAGGCAATCACCTTGATTCTGAACAGCTAGGTACCAGCCTATATTGGTAAAGGGAAGGAAATGCCTCCTTTGGAGCGTAGGTAAATGAAGGTACTCTCCAAAATAACAGTAGAATGGGAAACAAGAAAATTCATTGGTTTTGTAATAATTCGAGTGTATGTAGCTAATCATGCCCAGACTGGTGAACTTCTGACCTCCATATAAGATATTATTACCTGTTTTGCTGACTTCCAAAACGATCTTTGTAGATGGTTTTTAAACAAATGTCTTCATGGATAATCTCCAGAAATGTTTTAAAGTTAAATACTGTTCAGGTACACACATATTTTCTGCTACGAATAAGTTACTATTCTCTTTAATGTTAATTATGCTCAATAACAGTTAAGACATCATTAATAGTTCTGGCTTTTTTTACTGAAAGTTGCAGTTTGGCAGAACACAACTATATTAGGAAAAAAAACCTAATGAGGTACAACTGTGAATAGGAAAATCAGGGAAGCAGAGGGGTTTCCAGATTTGTTGCAATGTGTATTACCTCCTAACTCCCCACAGGGTTTGATCCAAAGTCTACTATATTCAGTTGGAGTCTTGCTTTAATTTGATTTAACTGTTGAGTTGTGTTCCCAATTTTTGTGCATCCATCACCCAATTAACACCTCAGCCACACACCTGCAGTGGTTTGAGCCTCAGACCACTACCTGGAAACCAATAAATTCTCTACATTAAGTTCTGAGATTAAAGGTCTGAAGATACAACCACAGAAAAAGGATTTAGCAAGGAGGGAAAAGAAACGCAATATGTAGTGCATCTCAACTAGTATCAGCCTTCCTGAGTATTTGAATTTTCCATTTATCTTCCCAATGCAAATTAGATCCGTATGGGGAAAAACAGGCACTTAAATGACTGGCACATCTACTATGCAGTTTTAAATACAAATGTATACAGTTTGGTGGGAGGAAGCCATACAGTACAGATTACTATTGCCGAAGCATGATCTCATGAGTAAAGAATGGATCTGGGAGTTGGGAACATCGGTTCAATTCATGGCTTCAATACAGATTTTCTGTGTGACTTAACACTAGTGCTTACTCTTTCTGCCGCAGTCCCATGCACGCAAAATAAAGGTAACTTTCTCCCTTCAAGGGTGCCAAGGGAGAAAAATAATTAACGCACAGTAATGAGGCTACAAAGACCATCTTCGGACACGGACTGAGTTGCTAGCAATTTTAATGACTTGCATTCTTCTATAAAAAGAGATGATGAGTGGAATTGGAAGCAATGTCTTAAACTTCTCAAACATCCTGCCACAAGACCTAAAAGTCTCTCTCTCAGTAACAAGCTCCTTCCAGGCACCTTATTCGTTAGCCTTCTATTTGCTGCTTTCTTCATTGTTAAATGTTACTGCAGACTAGTGCACTGCTACAGAAACACTCAGTTAGCTCTAACTTCACTATTCCACCAGGAATAGGTTATGATGTACAGTGTGGTCTTTAGGTGTCTATAAAACTAGAGTAGTACCCAGAATGTAATTTTTCTTTTCTTATCTAAAATCAGTAATTATTTCATTATTTAAGAAGAGGTCTTGTCTCCCTGATTTCATGAGGGTAGATGGCAAGCAAGAGGTCTCCCCGGAACACCAGTCCTCGTAACTAGCTACAGGCTTTCTAGGAAATCAGGAGGGTGATTAAAACAATTCAAGGGCAAGGATGCTGTGTGGTGTAGGAGGACAGAGTAAAGAGGGATAGAGTTGCACCCTAGCGCTAAGTGGTATGCAGAGGGAAGGGTGGTAGAATTGTAATTCAATAGTAGCTGCATGTGATTTGTAAGACTGAAGAGTAATAATCAGTAGCTTTGTCACTGTGTGTAATCAAGTGCAAAATTATATAACTGTAATTTAATAATGATGTGTTTATTAATTATTGGTCATTGAATTATTAGTTTTTTAGTAGCGTGTTGCTGAACCAACAGACACTAGTCTCTTAAATCAGTTACTTCTCATGCCTGCAATCTAAAGAGGGAAGAGTTACGCATGAGGCAACTGGGGACTCATCTGAGAGCTTCCATTTCTGAGGCTTGAGCTAGCTGATATTAAGATGCCTTAAGTAAGAAAAGGAGAGATGACCCATGTGGCCAAAGAGAATCTGGACCTTGGGTGACATACCGCCTTTTTACCTGAAGAGGCCAAAGCAGCATATGCATGATGATAAGCATTCTTCCTCCTGTGTGTATTAAGAATGATAGTTTGTGTTTGTGTGGGAGCCCAGTGTTGCTGTGAGAGTTGCCATTTGGGGCCGGGGGAGGGGGGCGCGGAAGCAGAGTGTGTCTAAAGGAGAAAAGGGGAGCCTGACCGTTCCTGGATGGTCTGGGGCCGTAACAACTGTTGATGCAGTGATTTAGTAATGCAGCGTGTCCCATAGCACAGGTGGATGCAGAGTGCCACAGCATTTTTAACCAGCCACCTGGGACTGTTACATGGCTGGTTAAGGTTAATGGTTGTGTCAAGGTGCCCAGTGAATAATGTGCAGGTGCTACATGGCATCTGGCATCTTGTTTGCAGGGTCGGAGCTGAAGAATACAAAAGCCACCAGAGAGAGATCCTTGTGAGTGTGTGTGTGTGAGTATAAAATCTACTAGCAGGCTTTGAGGCTGACTTGCTGGCAAGGAAAAGCAGGACCAGGCCATTCATATTGTTCATGCTTATGTGAGTGCTATTAGTGTGTATGTGGTGCCTGTAAAAGCACTTTTCTGCTGTCCATGTTGATCTGTCATTGGTGGGCTCTGTGTACATAGATGTGTTTGTGCGCACCTACTGGGAATAAAACCATCTCCAGGCCTGATCAAGAGACTGCAAAATATAAAGGAAGACCAAAACCCTCACATAAAGAATCTAGATGTGCAAGACTGTGAAAAGTGTGAATTAGTATTCATATTAACTGATACCTTTGCCAGTGTGACTCCACAATACCCTTGAAAGTAGCAGAAGGGGGTAGCAAAGCAAAAAAGAACTAAAGTAAATCTGTAATTGTAAAGCTGATTGGGAAATAAAGAGCCCTGGTATCCTGCTGGATGCTAATACATCCATCAATATAATGCAAAACTTAACTTAAAATATCACATCCAGGCTGTACCTGATGCAATTAAGATGGTCTACTCTGATGAAGAGAATGTAGGAAGAAAATGAGGTACTTAAAGGTTTAGCAAGCAAAGAGGGAGACGCTGAATATTCAAATAGGAGAAATCAGATGAGCTGTGAGAAGAGTGATTAGTAATGCATGCTGTCCTGCTGCAGAGGTTAATCACAAAATTGTGAGGAGATAGTAGGCATGAAAGCTTAGTTTTAAAGCAGGAAAAAAGCCTATAGCATGAATAGCCAGCACCTGCTGTAAAAGCAGAATGACTGTAAAAGCAGCGATGTAGCAAAAGTCTCAAATTAGGGAAGACAGAAAAACAGTAAATGTAAAATAAACACTTCAGGCTTAAGTAAGAGGTGAATGTAACCAATTATTCTTAAGACTCAAGTGATTTTATCAGTCAGAATTAAGTTTTGAAAAACTGCAAAAATATAACAACATAAAGCATCTAGACCTAGTATTACATATACAATTACATAATTACAATAATGTAATTATTGATATCACTGGTGTTCTTTCAAGCGAACATGTAAGCACAGCACATATAAATAACAGAAAGAATCTTAGGCTATCAAGAAGGTAAAAGAAGTTTGAAACAGAGAGGAAACCAATTAAGTGCTACCAGTTCTTAAGTAGTTAAAGGTTGAGAGAACTGTGGGTTAAACACATACATATGAAACTTAAGAGAGAGAATAATGAATAGTAAAATGTTATGACTGAACCAGAATATAAGCAATACTGAAGGAAAATAGCCTTCTTACTTATTAGAGAATATTCATACATCTAATAACTGAAGCTTAACCACTGTATTTAATTATTCTGAAATGTTAACTATATAAATGCATCACTGTAAGTGATGTTAACACCCTTCCTTTAAGTGTTAAGAAAATGTTAAAAATCTATGTATAACTATGTCTGTTTGTTATAGAGAAAAGATGAAACCAAGAGGTTGCAGACATCAGCTAATGAAGGACGAGAAATAAAATGTCTTATGGAGATGTTCCAGCTGACTTAACACAAAAAAACCCTATTAATAACAATCTTTGTTGTTATGTATCACGTAACAACATGTATGTATCACAGAAGAAAAAGTAATCCATTCAAACCCTATGGCTATTGATAACTACATATTGCTCAGCTTTGATTTGGTTTGTTTTTTTTTTCTTTTATGAAAAGGGAGAATAAGAAATAAAACCAGATCCAATGTGAAGATGTTCTCATCTCCTACAAAAGAAACCCCATTTCTCTGCATGAGGATGTACTTCATATTATTGTTAGTGATAATGATTAAAAGAACACTATTACAGCACTGTAATCTCCATGTATGTACTCTCTGTGTGTTTGTACGGATGTAACTTGATGTGTTTACAAAACAGCATTTTTAGAGCTGCAAGAAACAAAGGAGACTTCATTAAGCACAGCAGTGTCTCCCATGGTAAACTGTACTTTCCAACTGCGCCTCCACAACACCTGGAACTGAAACAACTGTATCTTCACACAGTGTGGTATTGGAGACATTTTAGATTGGAGTAAAACAATCTCATATGTATATTCACATTTGTCACTGCAGGAGGTATTATATATTATATTGCCCCATTGACTACAGCTTCCAGAAGCAAGCTG